GAGACTATTCATCCAGAGGGTCAGTATATCTCAAATTAACCAAAACATATGAAGAAGAAATAAGAACAATAAATAATTTTACAGATACGGAGGTAATCTAGGCCTGAGCAGTGGTTACCAAGATGCCAGTAACTTCGATTCCATGGCTTCGTCTTCCTCCCAGAGTCGCCAATTTGCTTCGCGAGGTTATTCGGCAACCGGAGGAGGTTATTCAGCTGGAAGTCACGCTGGTTACGCCATTGTCCCAACAACAAACGCCCAACTTCAAGACATGAGCAGAAGACTACACGAACAAATGTCCCGTCAACTTCAATCCGCCATTAGAAACGAACACCAAGCCCATTCCGCGTTCTCCGCTAGCAGCAGCTCAAGCTACAACAATTACGATTTCAAAACGTTGGAAGACGAAATACGACAAAACCTAACAAGACAATTCCAAGAGGCCCTCAACAATCAATACCGATCTCAGACGGCCTCAATCCCATATCCGTTCACGTCTAGTGGCGGAGTTAAACAAGAATTCGAGGAACTGAAGTCACACGTCGAACAAGATCTCCTAAAAGAATTGAGGGAAGGCGTACAGACTCAGTACGGATACAGACCAGCGGTCTCTTACAGACCAGTGCTTGAATATAGAGCACCAGCTCCTGCTCCTGTTCCTGCCCCTGTTCCTGTTCCTGCATACAACACCAAAAGCTCAAGCTGGGACTCCAGCGCAAGCTACCAAGCGGGATATCAATCCCAATATCCACAACACGTAAGCCAACCCGTCGTCACCACAGTAACTTACGTCCCTCTTACTGATGTGACGTCGAGGGTTGAAGATACAGTGGCAAGAAATCTGCAGTCAGCCTTGCAGGAGGTCGATAGGCAATTCAATGAGCAAAGTTCGCAAGTTTACAGCTCCAGCAGCAGTTTCAACGTTGATTACAGCGGCCAGCTGAACGAGCTCACCGATCAACTCGTTCGTAACTTAACAGAAACGTTGGAAGACGAACTTAGAAAGAACTACGGACGATATGAGGAACGAGATTCTTACGTGTACGTCGATTCCAGACCGGTCTTCAGAGTAAACGAGTTGGAAGAAAAGAAAGAGAAAATCCGCAACGAATTAATCCGAAAACTCGAAAACAGCTTCAGACAAAAATACAATAACTTTGTACAACGAGCTTCATACGTTAAACAGCAGCAGCAAGATCAACAACAATCCCAATCCCATCAATCCTATCAACCTGTTGTAAGACCTCAGCCTTTATCCGCGGGAGGTTACTCGTCTTCTTCTTCCCACTCGGCATCCGCGTCGTACAACCAAAACTCCGGCAGCTACTATCCATCTGATTATCAGGAAGGTCTAAACGTCGTGGCCAACGAAGTGGAGACAGATTTGACGCGGCAACTCCAATCCGCCCTTACAGAACAAGAAAAACAACTGAGACACATGATGTCCTACAGTCAACAGGATCGTCCGAATTATCAGCAAACTCTTGCAGAACTCCAAGACGAATTACGAAGAAACTTCACCAACAAGTTGGACGACAGCTTACGGAAACATTACAGGGTAGAAACGCAAAGTGGTTCTTACTTCTTTGCAACTGGCAGCGGATCCGGTTCCCAAGATCAACAGCAAATGCAACAAAAACTGGAAAGATTAAGGGACAGCCTCCAAAGTCAACTCATGCAACAGTTGGAACGAGGTATGGCCCATCAGCAAAGCTACTATTCCAGCTCCAGCAGTTCCAGCAGCGCTAGTTCTGGTTACAAATCGGCCAAATTGTCCCAGTACCCGTCCAAGTCGTATTCCCAAAATTACGGTTCCGGTCTAACGTACGAGGAAGATTGTGACACCCAAGGAGACGATCCCCACTCTTACCGTAGATCAGTGAGAAGCACACCCGACCAACAACAAGAAGATGTTGAAGATTTAGTCCAAGAAACTGAACTTCTTCAACAAAAGGACTTGGACAAACTTACGCAACAACAGGAAAATCCTGAAGTATTTGGCAAATTACAGACCAACAGGGGAGATATTAGTACCAATGAACAGGGAGTACAAAGAGAAAGGGAAGAGGTTTCATCAAATCAACCACCTCGACCGCCAAAACGAACGTACCCTGCAAAGCAAAGGATTCACGCACGACCAGTCTTTTCATTCAACAAACCTGCCACTCAAGCAGACGATCTGACACAACAACGGCAAGAAGAGACGGCAGATTTAACCCAACAAGTACAACAACCAGAATCCATCGCTCCGTTGAGAAACTACCCATCTAGTTACAATGCCAAACCGCATACCAACAATCCTGTTGAAGACGACAGCGATCTAACACAACAAACTGCACAAGTAGAAGATTTAGCACAAGTTCAACTTCAAAACCAAGACTTCATCCAGCAACAAGAAAGACGAGCACACTCTCTACAATCAGGTTACTTGAGAACAACATCTGACAACAGAAATAAACAAAACAAACAAGACACGGAAGATCTCACTCAACAACAGGAGCAAACAGATGATTTGGTACAACAACAACAACATCGAGAATCTGAAGCTCCGTTACGAAATTATCAAAACAACAATCCATCACGTGGATTTACATGGATGAGTAACCCAACATACAGACGTAACGATCAGACGGTAGGATTATCGCAACAGCAAGAGCAGGTAGAAGATTTGACTCAGCAACAAGATCTGGTGCAAAGACCAAACAACGAACCTGTTGTCACAAGACCGATTAATTCCTGGCAATATGAAGACGTAACTCCTACACGGAATTATCCATCAACCAACTATAAACCTAGCTATTTAAGGACTAACAGATATAACGATCAAGTTACTAATCCCACCCTACAGCAAGAACAAGTGGATGATTTAACGCAAAAACAGCAACCGGAACCAGTTTACGTTAATTATCAAACAGGGTTTAAACCAACTTCCGGCGATCTCATTCGGACTCCATCCAGGACCAATTCATCTCCAACTCGGGGGATTTCCGGATCAACCTATAATAATTACGATGCCCAAGGAGAAGATCTAACCCAACAACAAGAACAAGTGGAAGATTTGACTCAACAGAGACAAACACAAGACTATCATTTGCAGCAATCAGCTCGTGGTCTGTCTTGGCGATCAACTACACCGAAACCCAGAACCTCATATTTTTCTTCCCAAGACTTATCGAACCAACAGTCCACTGATTTCGGACAGCAAAGCCGAGACCTAACTCAGCAACAAGAATTCGACTATTTCACAACCACGTTCAAACCAATTCATCCCAAACCTCTTTCTGTTATTGGTATAGACGAACAAAGGGCAGAAGACGAAAACAATTTTGGAAAATTGGAAATCGGAAGTCAGTCTAGCAGAAACTGGAGACTACATAACAAAAAGCCTTCTGATCTCGATCAACAACAAGAGCAGGTTGAAGACTTGACCCAAGTCCAACAGAAACCTACGGTTTCAGGCTCCTTATGGGATGACAGCCAAAGGACAGAGAATCAAAACAATTTTGAATCTTTGCAAATTGGAAGTCAAACAAGCGGGACCAGGAGGCAAAACACAAGACCAATCGATCTAACTCAGCAACAAGAACAAGTTGAGGACTTGGATCATGTCCAACCTACGGTTTCCGGTTCAATAAGGAACGACAATCAATTCTATCATAACGAAAGGCAATCTCATCAATACGATTTTGGCCACAACAGTTATTCTACACGTAATGTGGTTCGCCCTGGTTACACCGTGGGTCAGGGATCTCAATATGAATTAGAGACGGAGCACCTGGGTGTCACCAAAACCACCCCAAAAGTAAATTATGCAAATCAAGGCCAGTTGGAAGATAATTTTGGAAGAGCTGACGAATTTTACTCTTTAACAACAGAGAAACAACACGCTTTGGTGTTAGATGCAAACAACAACAGAAGGAGCTACGGGGGTGTTAAAGGTGGCAGGGGTCGAGCAGGTAGCCCATTTAGTGGTCAAATAGTCGATGAACATTATGAAGTGGAACCAACAATTGCACCTACATCTGATGTTGAACAATTTGCAATCCCTGAGCAAACTGAGAGTCCAGGTTTTTGGAAAAAAGTAGGAAGTAAACTTGAGAATACATACAACCAAGCTAAAGTAGCAACTTCTAAACTAGCAAAAAGCATACGTACATCAGTAGGGTATTAAGTTAGAATATATCTTTATAACATTTTGTATTTATAATTCAGAAATAAACTTTTTTTAAATTATTATATTAGTGCTTCTTTAATAATGTGTAACAATCTGTTAAATCTGACTAGCTGTTATTGCTTAGTTAAACAAAAAAACATTACACTTTCTTAATTACATTTACAGAACCACCCTAACGATAAGCAAGCATTGACAAATACTTTAGTGTGGGGTGTAACAAATAGCAATATCAAATTTAATACACTATTAACATTAAAAACAACTTACTTTGGGTAGACTTTCGTAAAATCTCACAAAGCTCTGCTGTTGTGGCAAATCTGAAGCAAAGAAAAGCAATTGTAAAAAAGTAATACAATAACAGTGGCATGTCATATACCTAAATTAAGAGCATGAACAGGCTCCAAATTAGTCATGGTACACTAAAATCACTTATTAAAACTGCACTTTACACAAGTAATTACACTTTTATCTAAAAACTGCACAACTGCCACCGGTTTAAAATGTTATAACCTCACTCCTTCACACGTTACCTAAACAAAACACATTGAGAAGTGATCATATTAATACAATCTGAACTGATCTGGAGGGTGAAAAGGGCGGCCATATTTGCCAACTTTTGCTTTGATTAACGAACTTTTACTGAAACTTTATAATCTTTGCCAATTCAAGCTAAAAAGTTTCTAATTCAACCCAGAATACAAAGCATTAAATCTATATGTACAATATTGCAATGTTGAATATTTTCTTATAAAACAAGTACCTAAGTGAATTGTTTCTGTAATTGCTCCAGCATTAAAGATTTTTTACAGAATAAAACATTACATTTGAATAAATTGTGTATACGAAACACAACAATATTTATGTTTCACGGTCAATTTTTTCCACAAGGACTTACGAACGCTTTGCAATTTTTTTAAATAAAGCTTGCAAAAGCATGACATCATTTTTTCCCTGGAAATACCGCAGTTTACGGTGGAAAATATGCTAATGATGTCCACCTTAGGGAATCGATTGGTTCTCCTGAGGTTTGTATGCTTAATGTCTCCTGGCGACCAACTATGACCAGTAGATGACCACCCTCTTAGCCCCTTTATGGGGGTTAAAGGAAACTGACCATCAGTTTGATTTTCGATTTGCGCTACCACGTTAGGCACTTAGTCGTCCTTCATATCGAGGTGTGAAGACGCGTTTCAAAATTTGCGAAAAAAGAAAACAAAGTATGAATTATGAAAAAACACAAATGGCACCCACATTTTTATAACAAAAAAATAAAAATTCATAACAGAACTAGCTTCAAAAACGATTTTTACCTCTAATAAAGTTTAGGAAGTACAAGTACGTAAATTAATAAATTTTGANTTTAAATAGGCTGCAATAAAAAATAAAAATTACTTGAACGTATAACTAGGCCAGAGTAAAAGTACTAACTGTGTGATATAATACGTATTTGGTTGCTCAATTTAATAATTTCGATGTTGTACTTATTATAAATACAAACTGAATACAGAAACCAAAATGTATCACCTATATTTAAACTACATCCGGTTGAATTAAATTATAATTTGATGTCATTCTTAGCGAAATGCATTAAAATAATAAACACTGCGTTTCTGAATAGTTAACAACAGAAATAATTGTAGGATTAAGCCTTAAAACAAAATTTAATTCAAAGGTAATTTCTGTAGCAATGCAAAATTCGTCTAGTAACAACAACATTAAATAAAAAGAACTAATTAATAATTCATGAATTTAGTAATGCGAGTCATTTTCAACATAAAAAAGATCATAAACACTTGTACTGTATCATGAATGAATCTATATATATATATAAATATCTTATGTAAGAATAACTAGCAAAAAATATGGATAAATCATCTAGAATACTGTTCATCTATTCTTAATTTAAAATAAGCCAATAAAGTAATATACCTGCTGGATGAAAAAAATATATCTTTGAGAAATCTGGAATAGCAATTAAAAATTAGTCAATAAAAAATTAAAACTCGGTTTATATTACGTAACGAATATGTACTTAATAAATATTATAGGCAAACCGACTCAGCTATTGGAAATTTTAATAAAAGTAAACATACGCAATGCAAAATTTCGTTAACAAAAATCAATTTTAGGAATTATAAAGCAAATGTAAAATTTCTGTTAGTAATATTTACTTCCACAAACTGATAAAATATTACCGAATTGGCAAATTTGGAAAAGCCAGTATAAAAAAACAATCGAACCAAAATATTTTCGAATTGCTTAAAATATTTTTGATAAAATACATAACTAAATGCGTATACATGGTATAAAAAAGTGTATCCTGATTCTGCGTAATTATTATAATAGTAAATGTACGAAGAAAATAAGAAAAACGATATTATCGTATTAAGAATTGAACTGTGACATTTTTGAGACATTTAGCTCCATATTCAGATGACCCAACCGTGTTGGTCATAGTTTACAATGGCAACAAATCCTTCTTTAGTTCATGAATACAGTACAATTATACTCATTACCTCATCGCAAAAGTACATAAATTATAAATACACAAAGGTAGATAGATATAAATTTGTTGACGCTACGGTGAAATTCGTATTTTCCGCCAAACTTTTGGAAAAGCAACAGGACCAAAAATTACGGTCTCTCGATATTATTTGCTTGTAATTAAACAGTTATTGGAATTAATGTGACGGTTCTGTTGGTGGGGCAGAAACACAGATAATGCAAAGTATAAATAATTGTTAGTAAATAAAATCAGACTAGTGTAACTTCAGAAAAACTTTTCACATAAAAAACTGTTCGGACATTAGAAAAGTGAAAAGGGAAAAAGTGTAAGTAATTTTTAAATGCATTTTCCTTAATTGATTACCTAATAAATGTTTTTTTATACACTACGAATTTAATAGTTGCTATTCTCATTTTTTTTTAAATTTAATTAATTTAAATACTCCTCAACATTTTTTTCAGCGGTATTGAAATGTAGAGGTTAATATTTAATTAACCATCGCAATAATTGAGCTCAATTTTATTGAAGTCATAAATAATTCGAAAATTGCTGCGAACAAGAAATATGTTGAGATGACCCACACGATGTTTTTATTGACCCGATTCACGTAACATATTGCGATAATACCAATTTAACTAAACATAAATTTTCGATAAATTCCAAAAACAAACGCCGAATGCAGTAGAACATCAAATTCCGCAATATTTTTTATATGTTACTACATAGATAAAGACGATAACAAGTGCTAGTGTCCGTCTATCTTTTCTTGTTATTCAAAATGTTTTCGCTTTTCGGAAAACGACTGACCTATAGCCCCGAAGATATTTTATCATGTACACTCCAAGATAAAAATACGGCTTTGTCTTAACTCTCGTAATAATTAAGTAACAAAAACATATTTCGCATTTGAACATTAAGACAGTGTTTCGTATTTTAGAACAACATGCAAAGGACCGTGGTGTTGTGCGCCCTCGTGGTCTGCGCCCTGGGAAAACCCGAGGGTTACTTCCACCAGCAAATGCAATATTCCCGGAAAGCAGAATCCTATCGTGATAATGAACTGGAAAGGAGTGAAGGAGATGAGGCATTTTACTCGAAACATGGAGATTTAGACGGTCGCGTGCAGCCCAAAGTAGACTCTCACAGTTCTCATACGGAATACGAAAACCCAAAGTTCAAAAACCAAGGAACCAGCGGTAGCCTTATGTACGGTCAAGAAGGTAACTCTGGATACGGTTATAATAACAGAGACTATTCATCCAGAGGGTCAGTATATCTCAAATTAACCAAAACATATGAAGAAGAAATAAGAACAATAAATAATTTTACAGATACGGAGGTAATCTAGGCCTGAGCAGTGGTTACCAAGATGCCAGTAACTTCGATTCCATGGCTTCGTCTTCCTCCCAGAGTCGCCAATTTGCTTCGCGAGGTTATTCGGCAACCGGAGGAGGTTATTCAGCTGGAAGTCACGCTGGTTACGCCATTGTCCCAACAACAAACGCCCAACTTCAAGACATGAGCAGAAGACTACACGAACAAATGTCCCGTCAACTTCAATCCGCCATTAGAAACGAACACCAAGCCCATTCCGCGTTCTCCGCTAGCAGCAGCTCAAGCTACAACAATTACGATTTCAAAACGTTGGAAGACGAAATACGACAAAACCTAACAAGACAATTCCAAGAGGCCCTCAACAATCAATACCGATCTCAGACGGCCTCAATCCCATATCCGTTCACGTCTAGTGGCGGAGTTAAACAAGAATTCGAGGAACTGAAGTCACACGTCGAACAAGATCTCCTAAAAGAATTGAGGGAAGGCGTACAGACTCAGTACGGATACAGACCAGCGGTCTCTTACAGACCAGTGCTTGAATATAGAGCACCAGCTCCTGCTCCTGTTCCTGCCCCTGTTCCTGTTCCTGCATACAACACCAAAAGCTCAAGCTGGGACTCCAGCGCAAGCTACCAAGCGGGATATCAATCCCAATATCCACAACACGTAAGCCAACCCGTCGTCACCACAGTAACTTACGTCCCTCTTACTGATGTGACGTCGAGGGTTGAAGATACAGTGGCAAGAAATCTGCAGTCAGCCTTGCAGGAGGTCGATAGGCAATTCAATGAGCAAAGTTCGCAAGTTTACAGCTCCAGCAGCAGTTTCAACGTTGATTACAGCGGCCAGCTGAACGAGCTCACCGATCAACTCGTTCGTAACTTAACAGAAACGTTGGAAGACGAACTTAGAAAGAACTACGGACGATATGAGGAACGAGATTCTTACGTGTACGTCGATTCCAGACCGGTCTTCAGAGTAAACGAGTTGGAAGAAAAGAAAGAGAAAATCCGCAACGAATTAATCCGAAAACTCGAAAACAGCTTCAGACAAAAATACAATAACTTTGTACAACGAGCTTCATACGTTAAACAGCAGCAGCAAGATCAACAACAATCCCAATCCCATCAATCCTATCAACCTGTTGTAAGACCTCAGCCTTTATCCGCGGGAGGTTACTCGTCTTCTTCTTCCCACTCGGCATCCGCGTCGTACAACCAAAACTCCGGCAGCTACTATCCATCTGATTATCAGGAAGGTCTAAACGTCGTGGCCAACGAAGTGGAGACAGATTTGACGCGGCAACTCCAATCCGCCCTTACAGAACAAGAAAAACAACTGAGACACATGATGTCCTACAGTCAACAGGATCGTCCGAATTATCAGCAAACTCTTGCAGAACTCCAAGACGAATTACGAAGAAACTTCACCAACAAGTTGGACGACAGCTTACGGAAACATTACAGGGTAGAAACGCAAAGTGGTTCTTACTTCTTTGCAACTGGCAGCGGATCCGGTTCCCAAGATCAACAGCAAATGCAACAAAAACTGGAAAGATTAAGGGACAGCCTCCAAAGTCAACTCATGCAACAGTTGGAACGAGGTATGGCCCATCAGCAAAGCTACTATTCCAGCTCCAGCAGTTCCAGCAGCGCTAGTTCTGGTTACAAATCGGCCAAATTGTCCCAGTACCCGTCCAAGTCGTATTCCCAAAATTACGGTTCCGGTCTAACGTACGAGGAAGATTGTGACACCCAAGGAGACGATCCCCACTCTTACCGTAGATCAGTGAGAAGCACACCCGACCAACAACAAGAAGATGTTGAAGATTTAGTCCAAGAAACTGAACTTCTTCAACAAAAGGACTTGGACAAACTTACGCAACAACAGGAAAATCCTGAAGTATTTGGCAAATTACAGACCAACAGGGGAGATATTAGTACCAATGAACAGGGAGTACAAAGAGAAAGGGAAGAGGTTTCATCAAATCAACCACCTCGACCGCCAAAACGAACGTACCCTGCAAAGCAAAGGATTCACGCACGACCAGTCTTTTCATTCAACAAACCTGCCACTCAAGCAGACGATCTGACACAACAACGGCAAGAAGAGACGGCAGATTTAACCCAACAAGTACAACAACCAGAATCCATCGCTCCGTTGAGAAACTACCCATCTAGTTACAATGCCAAACCGCATACCAACAATCCTGTTGAAGACGACAGCGATCTAACACAACAAACTGCACAAGTAGAAGATTTAGCACAAGTTCAACTTCAAAACCAAGACTTCATCCAGCAACAAGAAAGACGAGCACACTCTCTACAATCAGGTTACTTGAGAACAACATCTGACAACAGAAATAAACAAAACAAACAAGACACGGAAGATCTCACTCAACAACAGGAGCAAACAGATGATTTGGTACAACAACAACAACATCGAGAATCTGAAGCTCCGTTACGAAATTATCAAAACAACAATCCATCACGTGGATTTACATGGATGAGTAACCCAACATACAGACGTAACGATCAGACGGTAGGATTATCGCAACAGCAAGAGCAGGTAGAAGATTTGACTCAGCAACAAGATCTGGTGCAAAGACCAAACAACGAACCTGTTGTCACAAGACCGATTAATTCCTGGCAATATGAAGACGTAACTCCTACACGGAATTATCCATCAACCAACTATAAACCTAGCTATTTAAGGACTAACAGATATAACGATCAAGTTACTAATCCCACCCTACAGCAAGAACAAGTGGATGATTTAACGCAAAAACAGCAACCGGAACCAGTTTACGTTAATTATCAAACAGGGTTTAAACCAACTTCCGGCGATCTCATTCGGACTCCATCCAGGACCAATTCATCTCCAACTCGGGGGATTTCCGGATCAACCTATAATAATTACGATGCCCAAGGAGAAGATCTAACCCAACAACAAGAACAAGTGGAAGATTTGACTCAACAGAGACAAACACAAGACTATCATTTGCAGCAATCAGCTCGTGGTCTGTCTTGGCGATCAACTACACCGAAACCCAGAACCTCATATTTTTCTTCCCAAGACTTATCGAACCAACAGTCCACTGATTTCGGACAGCAAAGCCGAGACCTAACTCAGCAACAAGAATTCGACTATTTCACAACCACGTTCAAACCAATTCATCCCAAACCTCTTTCTGTTATTGGTATAGACGAACAAAGGGCAGAAGACGAAAACAATTTTGGAAAATTGGAAATCGGAAGTCAGTCTAGCAGAAACTGGAGACTACATAACAAAAAGCCTTCTGATCTCGATCAACAACAAGAGCAGGTTGAAGACTTGACCCAAGTCCAACAGAAACCTACGGTTTCAGGCTCCTTATGGGATGACAGCCAAAGGACAGAGAATCAAAACAATTTTGAATCTTTGCAAATTGGAAGTCAAACAAGCGGGACCAGGAGGCAAAACACAAGACCAATCGATCTAACTCAGCAACAAGAACAAGTTGAGGACTTGGATCATGTCCAACCTACGGTTTCCGGTTCAATAAGGAACGACAATCAATTCTATCATAACGAAAGGCAATCTCATCAATACGATTTTGGCCACAACAGTTATTCTACACGTAATGTGGTTCGCCCTGGTTACACCGTGGGTCAGGGATCTCAATATGAATTAGAGACGGAGCACCTGGGTGTCACCAAAACCACCCCAAAAGTAAATTATGCAAATCAAGGCCAGTTGGAAGATAATTTTGGAAGAGCTGACGAATTTTACTCTTTAACAACAGAGAAACAACACGCTTTGGTGTTAGATGCAAACAACAACAGAAGGAGCTACGGGGGTGTTAAAGGTGGCAGGGGTCGAGCAGGTAGCCCATTTAGTGGTCAAATAGTCGATGAACATTATGAAGTGGAACCAACAATTGCACCTACATCTGATGTTGAACAATTTGCAATCCCTGAGCAAACTGAGAGTCCAGGTTTTTGGAAAAAAGTAGGAAGTAAACTTGAGAATACATACAACCAAGCTAAAGTAGCAACTTCTAAACTAGCAAAAAGCATACGTACATCAGTAGGGTATTAAGTTAGAATATATCTTTATAACATTTTGTATTTATAATTCAGAAATAAACTTTTTTTAAATTATTATATTAGTGCTTCTTTAATAATGTGTAACAATCTGTTAAATCTGACTAGCTGTTATTGCTTAGTTAAACAAAAAAACATTACACTTTCTTAATTACATTTACAGAACCACCCTAACGATAAGCAAGCATTGACAAATACTTTAGTGTGGGGTGTAACAAATAGCAATATCAAATTTAATACACTATTAACATTAAAAACAACTTACTTTGGGTAGACTTTCGTAAAATCTCACAAAGCTCTGCTGTTGTGGCAAATCTGAAGCAAAGAAAAGCAATTGTAAAAAAGTAATACAATAACAGTGGCATGTCATATACCTAAATTAAGAGCATGAACAGGCTCCAAATTAGTCATGGTACACTAAAATCACTTATTAAAACTGCACTTTACACAAGTAATTACACTTTTATCTAAAAACTGCACAACTGCCACCGGTTTAAAATGTTATAACCTCACTCCTTCACACGTTACCTAAACAAAACACATTGAGAAGTGATCATATTAATACAATCTGAACTGATCTGGAGGGTGAAAAGGGCGGCCATATTTGCCAACTTTTGCTTTGATTAACGAACTTTTACTGAAACTTTATAATCTTTGCCAATTCAAGCTAAAAAGTTTCTAATTCAACCCAGAATACAAAGCATTAAATCTATATGTACAATATTGCAATGTTGAATATTTTCTTATAAAACAAGTACCTAAGTGAATTGTTTCTGTAATTGCTCCAGCATTAAAGATTTTTTACAGAATAAAACATTACATTTGAATAAATTGTGTATACGAAACACAACAATATTTATGTTTCACGGTCAATTTTTTCCACAAGGACTTACGAACGCTTTGCAATTTTTTTAAATAAAGCTTGCAAAAGCATGACATCATTTTTTCCCTGGAAATACCGCAGTTTACGGTGGAAAATATGCTAATGATGTCCACCTTAGGGAATCGATTGGTTCTCCTGAGGTTTGTATGCTTAATGTCTCCTGGCGACCAACTATGACCAGTAGATGACCACCCTCTTAGCCCCTTTATGGGGGTTAAAGGAAACTGACCATCAGTTTGATTTTCGATTTGCGCTACCACGTTAGGCACTTAGTCGTCCTTCATATCGAGGTGTGAAGACGCGTTTCAAAATTTGCGAAAAAAGAAAACAAAGTATGAATTATGAAAAAACACAAATGGCACCCACATTTTTATAACAAAAAAATAAAAATTCATAACAGAACTAGCTTCAAAAACGATTTTTACCTCTAATAAAGTTTAGGAAGTACAAGTACGTAAATTAATAAATTTTGAAAATGTTTTTCATTTTCTACTTGTTTTCAAACTTTTTCTTCGTCATCCCCGTTCCCGTTTTCGATCCTACCGCTTTTATGTCGGGAATTTTGGTACCATCAGACGCTGCTATAGGATCGGTTATATATCGTCTAAGAGCTTCCGACACTTCCTTCAATTACCCATTAAAATTCACCCTCGAAGAAGAATCGACTGTTGTTAACGTGGAGAATTTGAATTGTTCCCGTTTTAATTCGGTTTGTCAAAGCAACGTGGTCGTTCAAAGACATCTCGAAGCGGGAGTTTTCTACGACTTTGTGATAGTGGTGAGGAATCCTAGTGGGCAAACGGCTAGGATGCGTTGCTCCTTTAGGTAAGATGAAGGATTGATGAAGCTTTATATTAGGTGGAAGACAAAATTATTAACTGTAATTGTTAGGGCAACGAATGCCACAACACCCTTTGGTGAAATATTCCCGGGAGCGCCATCCCTACTAACTATATCCGAATCAGCTCCAAGGAATACCGAATTGGGGACTCTGATCGCAAAGGGAGATAAAACCAAAGAAAGGCCAGTCCTTTTGGAAGTGTGGGGATCCCCCAAATTCACTCTGCGTCAAAGAATCGTACAAGAGAGAAGCTCAGAAGGGACTTTACTTCTTTCAGGTCAATTGGATTACGAAACCACTAATTTATACTATCTTTCCATATTGGCAAATGTGAGTGCAAGAAACTGGTTACTTTTGGAGTTTAATTCAAGAATTTTTGATGCTAGGATGTTTGGACTGAACCGGGAAACGACACAAGAAACATTGTAGGATGGCCATTAGTAGTAGCCGTTTTGGATGAACAAGACACTCCACCGGTCTTTACCCTGGCACCCCCTGTGACCGAACTGCATTCTGACCTTCACCCGGGAGACCTAGTTATGAAAGTACGCGCAGAAGATGGAGATCGGGGAAATCCGAGGGATATCCGGTATGGATTACTTCCAGAAGAAAATCCGTTTGCTTCCTTTTTCGTTTTATCGGAAAATGCAGGTAATTATTAAGGATTTTGTGTGTAAACGTGTACAATTAATGAAATTCTCGTACATATATGTATGTAAGAAATAATGAGTTTGTAATCGATTTCACAGTTAACCCTTACGATAACCATCAAAAACCAGAAACTTTAGGTATGATTGACGCGAATTCTCGTGAACTACTTCAGCCATGGTCTACTTTTGTTTCTGATATCTACCTAAGTAAAAAGTATCAATGTTTTTTTAGCCCTTTGTGTCAAATGTTTTCATTGGGTGGTGGTTAAACGTTTTGAATTGTTAAACAGGTAATCGGATGGCGTGCTTGCGTGACCGTATTGCTTAATTGTAAATCTTTAGACAGAAGTTTTCGCAATTACCGGGGTCAACATACTGAAACCCTGCCTATCACGATATTTACGTAGGGAGAGTAAAAAAGATTTTATCTTGTAGCTTGTAGGGTCAATTGGTTACTCGAATTTATTTTCCAGGTGAGCTACGTTTAGCTCGACCGCTGGTCGAACTTCAAGCCCGAACCGACGGTCAGTCTCCAATAGTTCTTTCCATTATTGCTGAAGAAATACGCACAAACGCTAAGGAACCCGCTGCTCAATCAACAACTGTTAAAGTTGCCCTAATTCCTCCCCCTCCGGTCTGGGATATCCCACATTTCAGCAATTCCCGCTTTACGACCAGATTGGAGGAAAACTCTCCACCTGGAACCAGCCTCAATCTTTCTTCTATCGAACTTATAGTTCAGCCAGGGGAAGTCCTCACTCTCGAGTTGGATAACAATAACGGGACATTCGAAGTCACCCCTTCGGTTATCGAGAATCGATCCAAATTTAACATCGTCGTTCGCGATAATCACCTGTTGGATTATGAGTCCAGAAGATCGGTCGAATGTGTGATAGTTGCCAGAGAGTTTAAGACGGGGAATCACTCAGTTTCAGCGAAATTGGTGATATTCCTGGTGGATGTTAATGACAATCCGCCGGTGTTTGACGAAGCAGAATACAAAGCGGAAGTGGTAGAGAATGCGGATGTCGGAACAACAGTTATTCACGTTCGTGCAACTGATGTGGATACTGGATTGGGCGGGACAGTTAGATACGTAGAATTGTTAGGTCCCGGAAGCGAATTCTTCCGATTGGATCCAACTTCCGGACTTGTATCTGTTGCCGATTCTAAAGGTCTCGATGCCGAACGTACCGAGTTCTTTATTTTCACAGTTGAAGCAGCTGATGAAGACGGTGAAGGTCTAAAAGCAACCACTCAGCTGTCTTTACATTTATTAGATGTAAACGATGAAATTCCAAAATTTGAGAAAGAACTCTACGAATTCATAGTCGACACCCAAAAGCAACGTTTCACTTCGACGGCATTCATAAAAGCTGTAGATTTAGACGTGACCTCCCCTAACAACGAAGTGCATTATGAACTTATTCCCTCAAGTGATAACGTTACCCTAGACTCCAACACGGGCGAATTAACACTAAGGGGATCTTGGGGTACAACTGAGCTGGTGGTTCTAAAAGCCAGGGCTTACGATGGAGGAGTTCCAAGACTGTGGAGCGATACTGAGGTCAGGATTTATCCCCCTGACAGTAGAACATACCCTGTGACATTCATTGTTCCTGGAATAAATCAAAACCCCGAAAGTATCGAACAAAAGTTGAGAACTCTAACTGGGGGGGATGTTGCAATAAAAGACATCCAACCTTATACAGACTATAACACGAACGATAGATCTAAAAAGAGTCTTGTTACTGCCTCTATAAGGTACCCCGCAAACGCCTTTGTGGATATTGATCGAATTCAAAGACTTTTTTCTCGAACAGTCAACGAGAAAGATGTCGAAATTCAAAGAGCTGGAGCATCAGATAACTTGTGGTGGTTGTTTCTGATTCTGACTTTGCTATTGTTGCTCGCAATCGTTCTTCTCTTGTGCTGTTTTTGCGAGCCCTGTCCACTGTACGTTCCGCCAAACAAACGAAAAATTGTTGCCTCCGAAACCGTCCAAAAAAACGTGCAAGACGCGGGAAATGGAAACGAAAACAAATCAGTCCAAGTAGCTGAATGGTTTGGAAGAAGAGAAGCGTGGTCTCCAGAAGGTGTTATAGTCGATAACGAAGTGGATTCCCTGAGACGTCACGAAATGGAGCGGGGCTCCGACAGGGACCTCAGAAGAAAAGTGGCACACAAAAGGGAATCATTGGATAGGGACCATCTTTATATTCGTGAAGGTAACGCTGACATATTGAGATTGATAACCAGAGGGGGTGAACAACAAGCCCAAAGACAATACTTCGTAGACAATCAAAATAATTTAGTTGATAGCGGTAAAGATATTCTTCTAAAGAGATTTATGGATCAACAAGGAACTTCCCATCAAGTGAAGGTTGGAACGTTGCCCCATGAATCCCACAGGGCGTACGAAGGCCAAGAAAACTTGGAAGCTGTCCTGAGACAGCAGAATAGTCTCTTGAGGCAAATAATCCTAGAAAGAGAACGGGAAGTTCGCTTAGAGACCCAGTCTCTGCCAGCTGGAACTCAAACTGACAGGAATGCTGGAACGCAAACAGAGGAACTGTATATATTACGTCCTCCTCAAAGAAAAATTTACTCAGATAACGACGCCAGTGATGGCAGTGAAGCAGAAGAGGAAATTCTTTTGACCAGGCTACGGGGTAGGAAAAAGAAGGAGAGAAGACGTCGTGCATTGGAGATTAGAAGAAAAATTACAACTCCAATACGTGAAGAATCTGAAGAGTATATTGAACCAATTGAAGCACAAGGGGTGTTCAGAAGCACTGACAATTTGAGAGGGAGGGTTTTGAAAGAGATTCTTCTAAATGGGATATCCAGGACGGACGTTTCAAAGTTGGGAATCAACAAGGAAATTCTAACTGAAATATTCAATTCGTTGGACGCAAGCGAATCTACTGAAAAGGATCAATCGCAGCAGAAAAGGAATAGAAAGGATAATGGCGAATACTCCAGTGATAGTTTGGAAGAAGGAGACCACCGTCCAAGGAAGAGCAAAATCAGATTTTCTAAGCAGGCTCAAAAATACAGATCTGAGACAGATCTATCGAAAATGTCCGAAGCCAAATCGCAGTTGAAAGCGAAATCTCAAAGTAATTTAGATTTATCGGAGGAAAAGGTGAAAACCAAAAGTAAAAGGGGAGCCTCCAGGTATATGGAATGGTACAATAAGTCGAAAAGGCCGGGCATCACCAGAAATAAGGAAGAAGACTCCAAGTCTGTGAAAGTGGTGGATCCACTACTAAAACAAGCAAAACCGAAGGGTGGGATTTCAGAATCTTCTGGAACCAGTTCGAGTAAGAGTTCCAGGAAGCAAAGACATCCTTTAATTCAACATTCAGAACATCGTTTCGAACCGAGGAGAAATGATGAAGATGTAGATTCTGGAATTGTTCTTGCAAAGCCTCCAATTACTCAAAGGAAAAGCATATTTTCTATAGCTTATGAGGACATAGGAACGAAACAATTACTGCCTGATAGTAGTACCCCAACTTGAAATTTATTAAATTTTTTAAAAACATACCTATCTCCATTTTGATTTCTTTTTCATTGTACAAGTATACAGTATGTATAACATTTGTTAAGCATTACAACGAAAACATTTTTATACCAATAACTGTAAGTCTAATAAGTTAAAATAAAGAATTCACATTTGTTTAAAATTATTTCTTCATTTGTGACACACTGTATTTAATGTAATTGTAAGCAGGTATGTGAAATATGACGTAACTATGGTTTGTTTTGATTGCACACCTTTAATTAAATAGACGTCATGATGCAACCTACAACAAGGAAATCAATATACAATCAAAACAGTGCATTAATATAGGATAAACAATTTAATAAATTGTTATAATTAGTGAAAAGGTGCAGCAATAATAACTGGTATGCACTAAAATTAAAGAATCTTTTAAGATTTAAACAACATCAAACACTATTCTCCAAGTATTATTTGTTTTAAAGATAATGTTTGTTACAGAAAAAGCAATAAATCATGGTGAAAAACAACTTACCAGATAACAAATATCGTAGATGATGCTCTATTAGTGAAATCCTTTTCATAAAACAAGCTTTTTTCCTTGTTTGACAATGATTGAGACCATTTTGAACCCCCTTAATTTACCTTCTATTTTGGTGCTTATATTTACCCTGTTCATGTGCAACTGGTATATCTGGAAACGTGTTAATAAAAGACAGGATGTAGTAGAAAAAGGTGTGTATGATATTCCTGGGCCAGTGCCCTTGCCCTTCTTTGGTACACGATGGTTATACTCCTGGATTGGTGGATACAAATTCGAGAAAATTCACGAAATGTACGAGGTCTTGTTTGCAAAATATGGGCCTATCATAAAAGAAGAAGCACTTTGGAACTATCCCATTGTGAGCATAAAGGAACGGGAAGATATAGAAAAAGTATTAAGATCTGTTGGCAAGTACCCTCTAAGACCACCCACTGAAATCGTCGTCCATTACAGGAAGAATCTACCAGATAGGTAATGTAATAATTAATTGTCTTAAGACAACAATTATTAATGACTGATTTTCCAGGTATTCTTCACTAGGCCTGGTAAATGAACAGGGTGAAACTTGGCATCACTTGAGGACACATTTGACCTCAGAACTCACCAGTACACGCACTATTTCCGAGTTTACCCCCGTCGTTAAAGACATCTTACATGAATGGTGTGATCTAATTAAACAAAATCGATCAAACACTGGAAAAATTGAAAATGTTCATGTATTAGCTGAACGATTTGCACTTGAAGTTACTTGTGCTTTAGTACTGGGGCGCAGGATGGGATTTTTGCTGTCCAATGAGTTATCTGATAAGTCCAAGAGACTTTCTAGAGCGGTTAAGGAACATTTTCTAGCCTCCAGGGACACCTATTATGGACTGCCCTTTTGGAAACTGGTCCCCACTGAATCATATTCAAAGTTTGTAAAGGCCCAGAACGAGATCTACCAAATTGCCTCTGAACTTATTCAAACAGCGGATGATTCCACGCAGGATAGTGCTGTCTTCCAGTCTGTTTTGCATGCTCCAGTCGACGAAAAGGACAAGACGACTGTTATCGTCGATTTTATTGCAGCAGGTTCGGTTAAAAATCCTTGAAGGATATTATTTATTAAAAGTAGTAATGTTGTTACAGGTATCCACACTTTAGCAAATTCATTGATCTTTCTTCTTCATTTGATTGGTTCAAATGAAGACGTTCAAAAGACGCTAAAGGAGCACCTTAAGAATGGCTCAAATTCGTACGCGAAAGCGTGCGTTTACGAGTCTTTCAGGGTAATACCGACAGCCCCCTGTATCGCACGTATTTTAGACAAGGACCTGCAACTATCAGGGTACAATTTGAAAGCTGGAACGGTTGTACTGAGTCATACTGGCATTGCCTGTCGTGACGAGAGATATTTTCCAAATGCGAAAAAATTCGACCCGGGGAGATGGCTGAATGAAGTAAAAGGTGCGAATGTGCACAGTCTCAATGCGTTTTTGATTTCTCCGTTTGGGGTTGGGAAAAGGATATGTCCGGGGAAGAGGTTCTCTGAAATGGTTGTTACCGTTGCTTTGGAAATTATAATGGAACACTTTAAGTTGGAATGCAAGGAACCGCTGGAGCTTGTCTTCGAATTTCTCTTAGCCCCTAAATCGTCTACCTCAATCTATTTTCATGATGATACTTGATTTAATTACTAACAGAGAACGTACCCATTAAAAAATGTTTATGTTCAGTTGATTGTTTGTTGTTAATATTGTGATTCTGTTATTGTCGAATAAGCAATAATGTTTAACTCAGGAAGCAATAATTTTTGTGTGTTAATTAATTTACTTACAACGTTTATGTGTTCTGTACTTTTACTATTTTATATACTTATGTAGGTAGTTCATAAAAAAGAAGGTGAAACTAGTTACATTCCATTTTACCATTATTACTATTAATATAATTATTGTTGTTAAGAAGAATATGCAAAATCGATGAGACTGCATTTTATATTAAATAATAGTATATTTTTATCGATATTTTTTATCAACTTACTATACTTTTTGCGAAGGTCAAATAAAGAAATTGTAAGATTATATTAATTGTTTCAATATAACACATAAACCCTAAAACTAGATTAATTAAAAAGAGGATTATATTAGGATTCTCTTTCAGGAAACCCGCCTCGTGGTTCGGGATATGTTTTGAGATAAATCATCTCCTCTCCCTTCTACTGGTTGACTCTGATGAGTCATTTGTCATTGATAAGGTCATTTATTTATACATGCTTGTATTAATAAAAAAAAAATATTCTCAAAGTATTAATGAAATGCGAAGGCTTTTCGATACGTTCCAATAGATGGCAATGTGAAACCATTTTATGTTCTTATTACAAATAAGAAATTAGGAATAAACAACTCTTGATCGAAACCGTTCTTATCACAATTTTCGAAGGTAAATTGAAATCAATCTTAGGAATACTCGCATTCAACAACTTGTTGATTGCGAGTCAACTAAAATAAAAATGGGGCAATTATCAGAATTGCGAGTCTTTAAATTATAAAACTGATTTTTATGTTAAATAATAATTCGTTTCTTTTAGCTATTGTAATTATCATCAGTAACTAAAATTTCAATAACTCTCCTTTCGGCTGATTGACTCTGATCAGTGTAACAGTGATTCATGAGTCATTTAAAAAATACTCTCAGTTATAAGGGAGCATGGATCTTTTTGATACTAGTCAATAGATGGCGACATAAAGCCATTTCGCACTATTATTACAAATAAGAAATTAGGAATGAATTTGGGTTCTGTTACCCTGCTATCCCACTCCTGATGTTAAATTGTGTTCTTACAAGAACACTGAATTTTTGGAATACTCGCAATTGTCCTCTTGATGATTGCGAGTCATAATCTTGTTAAAGCATAATTAATAATAATATAAACCCACCTCATGTGGCTTAAGTTAATGAACTTGAAATGCAGAGAGTATCATTAATTAGTTTTCGATAAATTAAAATTAAGTAATTGGGAGATTCGTTTCCTAATTTACAATTTCGTTTGCTTTTTTTACAATTATATTTGCTTGTGAGTTGCATTAACCGTTTGACTCACAAAGTGATACAGATACTATGCATTTTCTTTGATGTGAGTCAATAGAGGGCATTACGAAGTTATTTCGTATTATTATTACAAACAAGAAATCAGGAATGAATTTCGAATTACGTCGTTGAATATCTACTGACTGCGCCAGGCGATGTAAATCGTTTACTCGCTTTTAAGAATTTTTGAAGTGCTCGCAATCATCCCCTTGATGATTGCGAGTCATATTCCTAACGAAACATAGTATATTTAGTTTAATTAACGTTAGTTAGAAAGGAAGGGGTTGTTTTATGTAATTCCCAATGATTCTACTAACTGCGTCAGGCGACGTAAATCGTTTACACGCTTTTAGGAATTTGCAATCATCAAGGGGATGATTGCGAGTCATATTCCTATCTAAACATAGTATCCTTAATTCAATTAAACTGAAATTAGAAAGGAAAGAAATGTTTTATGTTATTCCAAATATTCCTATATTACTGATTACTGATTACTGATTTTGAGAGTGCGAGTCACCTATAATAAGGGCGTAATTGTCACCAAGTAAATTATAAACGAAGATACTGATTTTCTTGCCCAATAATTCTTCAGAGTTCTTCACAATATAATTAACACCATAATCATAATCGAATTCTTTAATTTACTCATATCAGATGCTTATACTTATATTAAAAAAAAAAACGTGGCAGCGGTGGGATTCGAACCCACGCCTCCGAAGAGACTGGTGCCTTAAACCAGCGCCTTAGACCGCTCGGCCACGCTACCAGATTGCGGGCCAAGGGGCCGCCGATTCAGAAATTGAATAATTCAGTATTAAATCCATTGAAATAAGCATGCACAAGGTGTAGTCTATAGATTTCTATAGATATAATTATTAGGTACTTACCCGAATTTTTTTTTTAAGTTTTTTGTAACTCAAATTAAGGGTGGAATATCAGCGATAAAACTACTTGAGCTCATTAATTCGCGATAAAAAATAAAATATGTTTAATATTTAAATACATTCAATTCCTTTCGTTTGAAAAGGGATAACGCATCCTTTTGTTTTTTTTTTATTTTTAGGCGAAACGTTTTCGAATTGCTCATTAATATTTGACACTCAATTTCGATTCAATTTTTAAGGTACCTAAGTATCAAAAATAAATCTACCTAGTAAAGGGTCGTTGGTATTTGGTTTATCACCGATTTTGAATAATAACATGCGTCACAAAAGGGCGACATATTGTCCCGCAGCGGTAAAAATCGCCTGTCATCGTTCTGAGTGAATCATTCTTTTACCTACGTCTCAAAATTTCGTAAACAGTTTTTCTCATTCGTAATAAATTTTGGATACATCGCCGTAACCGACGCACTAGGCGTATTCCTGGTGTATAAGAGCTGGTGCGACTCCCGTCCACAGGTTTAGTTGACCAGACACTCTTGAGGGTGAGCTAAGGTACACAGAGGTGACGATCGCGACTTTTTTTTTTACCGAAAACAGACAAAATGCCTGGACCTTCTAGACCTCGTTGGCAAGTAAGTAATTTTTCACCGATTTATTTTCCACTTTTCCTGTCACGTGTAGCGATCTATGCGAAATTTTGGCAACCGCATCCTTGCACGATGATTAATTCATAAAATACAAAATTGACCGCCATTTCAAAACAATCGAACTGTGTTTCGATTATCTGAAAATTCTTACTTTTGTTTTATGTGCTTCAACTATTTCCTTGATTATTATGAACACATCAACTTTTTTTTTCAGTTGTTTTACGCGCTTTAACTATTGTTTCAATTGTTATGGAAGCTTCAACTTTTTTTGGATTGTTGTTGATGCTTCATCTTTTGTTTGAAACTGAATGAAAAAGTAAAAGTAACTTTTGCGATTCGATTTTGGAATTTAAAGAAAATGCGCTTAATAGTTTTCTTTTGATTCTGATACAAAAAGTGCGTCTAATAAAAAATTTCACTGTTCTTTGCTGATGTAGGTGAGATGTTATTTTTGGCACACTTTTCGGTTCAAGATGAAAAAGATTTGATAAAAAAATTAAAACATTGTATTATCCATAAAGTAAAGGAACTACATATCTACACATATTTTTGAAATACTGTACACCATATCTTAAAAATTACAGATATTACACATAATTTTTGGACAAGTGTTATTACACATGAATTGCAATGAATTGAATTGTATATTTGTTTGCGTTTTGAGATGAGTCAGTTTGGTTCTATTAATATATCGTAGTTGAAACAATTTCAGACATTCGTAAGGAAAAGTATGTCAGATTTTCTATATTTAAATTATACCTGTTTGCGTGATGTTACTTACCTTGCTGATGAACTCTATTTTACTCAGATAGTTTAGTTTCTAATCTAAATCTCCTATGAAAAAGTCCGCGGGGATGTTGTCGAAAACCTTCTTTAAAATTTCCAGCATAATGTCCTCTATAGTTTTGCTCAGAATTGGATTCAACGATTCCGCGACCGGCCTCCAATTGGCATTCAAATATTCGTTGGTAGATCGCTCTAAAATAACAACATCAATATTTCGAGTTGTAAATTTCGCGTTTTAAAATAAGCTTTGTAAATGCGTCGTTGTTTCCAAAATCAGAGGCAATAATGGACTAAAATTAGCCGATTTGAAGGGAATTACAACAACCTGGCTGCTTGTTTACGAAACCGCGTTTATTTCCAAAATTTCTGTTCGATTTCACGACCAAACAAGTTAAAAATAATATGGTCCCTTTACGACTGTTTTACTACCTTTTTATTTATTGAAACAAAAGAAGTTAGTTAAACAAAAAAAATTGTTTTTACCTAAGGCTTTGATTCCATCGAAAAGGTTGCCCATATAAAGTCGCAAACCACCAATACTGAACTTAACATGGCAACTCTTGACGTCAAAGAAGTGAAAATCTTCTTTTTTTATCAGATCGACGTCACTTTTGACAAAAATATCGAGATCACCTAAAAATAGTATGATGTAGAATAAGAAAACGCATATTCGAAATAGTTTTGGTGGATGCGCCGGGTATGTTATAGTGATAAGCAAAGCTGGCGCAAGACCAAGACGGTCTTGGGATTGGTCTTGGTTTTGGTCTTGCGTCTGCTAGTATAAATACAGTCTTGGTCTGACTGCAAGACGAAGACCAATTTTGCTTACCACCAGTATATTATTTATATTTACGAATCTTTTGAACTTACTGGCTTCAAACCAACATGAACCATGACCTCTGATGGGAATGACCAAAATTCGCCCTAAAAGGACGTACTGTCCGTCGATTCGCAGTGTTGGTAAATGTAAGCGGGTATAAAAATCGTGTGTTTTGGCATCCACGAAATTTTCAAGGACTTTTGTTTTTCCAAATCCTACAACAGTTACATTTGCCAAGGATGCGTTCACATTAACAGGTCCGTCCCCTTGTAAAATCTAAAAGGAGAAACAAACAGGCATCAAAAACAAAATTTGTTATACAATCGATTGTTTTTCTTTTACTACGAAAAAATTTTTCGTTCACGTTTTAGTTTCATGCAGTAATTGAAAGTCTTTTTAGTAATATTTACTTTCTTTTTTTTTTACGTGCCGACTACGTTTAAACTACAAGTCATTTTAGACTTTTATTACATGAGGTCATGACGCTAGTTTTAGGGTCATATTTTCTTAAGCAATCGCTCTCGGCGATTTTCCTTTCTTGAAAATGAGCAAACATGATGTCGTTAGGATTATTATTCAAACTAATCGTGTACAAACCAGCACAGCAGTACAGTTTGCAAAATTACACGTACAAAGCGCAAAAGTTCGAAATTAATATTAATTGTAGTGCTTTTGTAATAAAACTTGCGCTTAATTACACCTGTGAATATAATCGTTGAATCGCTCCACGATTAAACATTACGTTAATACGACGTTTGACTCTATTTTTAAGCTTAACTGGGTTTCCAAAGAAGCATTTGACCTAAATGTGTTGAAATTAAAGATGCAATAAGTAATGTCATTGGAAACATAAGGCCTTGTTTTTATCTGGTTAATTATGCTATTGGTCAATGATACCATAATATTGGCGAGTTTATATTATTTGTTAATCGATTTTACTAATAATTGAAATTATTTTCAATGCAAAATCAAGTATTCTATATTCCCTTGGCAATTGTTTCGCCCTTTTAGTGTCTTTTTTAACAATTGCTAAAGCAATAAACAAATGCGAACATTACAAACAGATGAACTTATATACTATTTGGCACACCGCTTTTTTGCTATGAGGTAACTCACTTTTATTACGGGAACTTCTAATGGGTCAAGTGGCTGTAGATCGATTTCTGGCAATCCTTTAGGAAATCGATGGAATAATCCTTGGACCGCATGTGTGGAACAATTTACGAAATCGGGAGTTTTGATCTTACACGTTTGTACGAACTCAGCTGAAATAAATATATCCAATGTCTAGATCAATACTGTAGAAGTTGTAACAACTTTTCTTTATTATTTTGGCGAATTTTTTGAAAATAAAAAAACCTCTTGTTTATGCTGCGCTTTTGGGTCTTTCGTCTGACCCAGTTTGAAAGAAGGGTTTGGCAAGCAGACAAACAAAAAGAAGCAAGCAAAATGTGTACTTAAATTAGGTACTTACGCTGTTTATCAATAATGCCAAAGACAATATGCAAGTTTAGCAAGAATGCGGCAAAAAGACCGAATACATTAGACATGTTTGTACTTATTGTTGTGTGATACTAACAAAACTGACCGCGAACAACCATATACTTTCACTCACCGACAGTTTCTGGTCCATATGTAAGAAATTATGCAATCATTAGGTAACACATTCAATTGATTCCTCATTAGGAAGATTGCATACTTTTCCACTTCCGCCATTAAACCAGTTTATAAGATAAAGGCTCGGTTATTAATCCATACTGGAAGTTTACCTACAACAATCTGAAATGCATACTTTCTTTTGTTTCCGCTTTCTTTTTTATTTTTATTTTACACAAGCAATTGTTTTGGTACCCAGTAATTGCAACGCTTAAATATTTTGAATTTCTTTTGCGAGAATCAGTAAGTTTTAAAATTTCGGCGTTTCAAATTTTTGAGGAATGATTAGGCCACGTATTTTTGAACGCTCTGTACGTACGTCATGTTGAAATCTGGCAGAAACCACACGAACATCAAATTTTATGCGAATGAATAAGTGCAGTATTTTTAAACACTCTGTACTCATATTACAACTAAATGTATTTTCAGGGCGAAAATGCGCAACTTGAAAGTAGAAGAAATTAATGGCTTCATTTATTTATTAATCGAAATTGGCATAATATTCAAAAACATAATTTTAATTAAATTTGTATATATATATCATGTACAGTTTCAATTTGTTTTATCATTTGTTTCAAATAAGCTGCTTTTGTTTGAGTTGTTAAGTTCGATCCTATTTTGTTTTTCTCTAATTTTGTTTTTCTTAATAGTTCGCTACTTTTCAACAAAATAAGGCCACGTATTTTTAAGATTGCGAACACCACATCGATAGACATTTAGGCTGCCCAAATTTCATTAACAGTTCTAGTTCAGTGGAAATATTTTTAGATTTTACATTTTAGCCATGTTTAATGCTGTAAATCATGCTATATTTATAGACCTTAACGAAAGATAGTTTGTTATGATAATTTCTCAAAAAGTAGAATAAACAGCTTTGTTTTTTAGCAAATAACCAGGATAGACGCGCAAATTTCGGCAACAAAATTTAATTAATCGATAATGATGTTTCGCAGGAGAAATGTTTTTTAAATTAATATAGAAAATAAATAAAAGATAACATCACTTCACAAAATTTTTAATTGCATTTAACTAACAAAATAAGTCAAATCCAAATCAAAATCGGAAAAGTTTAAATAAAGATTTTGTGAAGTTTTACCAAGTGGTTTTTTAAATTCATCTTTATATTTATCAAAATTTTAATCTTTATGATAGTACTGTTAAGTATAATGTCTTATCGTTGTCCTACAAAGAACTTCAAGGCTATGTAACACCAGATATGACAGAGGACAAAGTGATACACATTTAACAACGGAAATTGAAAAAATATCTGATTTATGGCCAAGTATAATGATTAGTAAGATTATACTTATACTCAAACAATTGCAAAACAAATAAATTTAAAAATTGAATTTTGTTTTATACGTAAAACGAATCCTAAATTGTAATAGTTTTAAGACAACTGATGTGAATGATAATTGAAATAATCATCGTAGCAATGATTGCATAGATGAAATGATAGCATTATGATTTTGTATACAAATAATGTTTATGATTTTCTCGTGTTGTCGTTACTTTTAAGGCAACACATCGAAATAATGGACTGGTGCCAAGTGAAGTGTGTATTACGTAAATAGAATTATTATTTTTGGAAAATTTTCAAGCAAATTCGGGCTATTTTTTGATGCTTGCTTAAGATTCCACAATTACGGTCATCATTTGTTTTGCTTTTTTTGAATGTAGCACTCGGAAATTTGAAGGCATTTTTTCCTTTCATTTCGAACAAGCGAAAATTCATAACGTATAAAACATCCTCAAAATCCTTAAATTGCATTTATTGGACATCTAAATATTATATACTTCCTATACTAATTATACAAAAACTTTTACAATTAATACTGTGGTAATATAAATCTAATTGAAAATTTGGATTTGTTGATTTTTGATCTAGATTTTCGTATTAAAATTTCACGTAATTACATAGTTCGATTATAGGCAAACATTTATCGATATTCATCTTGGTTATATAAGGGAAACGGGTTGAGCATTATTGACGAAAAACAAAAAAAGAAAAACAGAATTTTAAGAATTATTTTTATTATTACATACAATTATTATTTATATTACACTAAGATGAAATGTTGTTAACAAATGCAATGTCCGCTATTTACAAACAAATGGGTACATTTTGTTTAGTGTTAGGTAGGTAGATACCTATTGGCTAAAATGTTTTAAGAAAAATTATTTATTTAGAATAATAAAAAATAACGTAAATACATAAAACTTAAAAATTACATATGGCGGGTGTTTCCAAAGCCACCATGACCTGATTGGGATGCACCCTTGTTGTAGCCCATTTGGAGATTTAGAAGTCCCTCTGAACTACGTAGTTGCTCTTCTGTGAATTGACGTTCGCATTTTTCGGCCATCTTGGGCCCTAAAGATGGTCCCTTGAACTCGGGATGTTTCTGTGTAATACGACCAAGGGCGTATAAACTTAATGTTACCTAGAAAACGTATGTGTTTTTAACATATTAGGGAGTTTATTTAGACGCCCTTACCTGGGGGATATTTCTCTTCTCGAAAAGATCAGCAGTCTGAAATATTTCTTCCTGAGGTACTCCGTAGGCTTTCGCGGCCTTCTGGAAACGCTCGATGTTTTCCATAAGTTGGAAATTTGTTCCTTTAGTTTGGATTTTTTTAATGCAGCCGGGAGCCAATTTGTTCATTAGATTGCACAGAACGACGCCATCCCTAAGGATATTCTCGTAATCTCCGCTAGGAACTGGTTCCCCAAGCACGGCGAATATCCAGTTAAGGACCTCTTGTTCCTGTTCCTTGTTTCGTGGCTGCAATTATTGTTGTTTCGTTTGTCATTACAAAGTCTTTTTTAATTTTGGGTTAAATTGATTTTAAGATTTCCGAAAATTGTTTTTGCAACGCAGTTATTTTTGGAAATTAAGTACCTACTGTAGGTTCGATTTATTACTTCCATTTGTTGCGTATGACGTGCGTTTGAACGTGATGGCCGAACTTTATTTTTAGAACGTTTTCAAGATTTTGCTAGCGGTTATTTTTCTTCTTTTCAAACAAATAATTTTTTCGTTCATTTTTCATTTGTTTGTTTTCTTTTGTTTTCCTTTTGTAATGTTAATGAACAAAACTCTAGACAGCGAGAGGGATAGGTATGGTAGAAACAAAAAAAAAAAATACGAAAATCAAAAAACAAAACACTACCTACTGTTTGTGTTAGTGTGATAAATAGAAGTAGCAATAATTTTTGTCGGATTTACTGCAATCGCTATTTTTTTTCTATTTTATGGCGTTATTTTATGTTTGTGCAATTTATGGGATACTTACGGCCATGGTATTGGGACGTTATGTTTTGGCGTCGCGACGTTTAGCAACTGAGGCGTCGCCGATCTGCGGGCCTCTATAAGCGAATTGGTTGCGGGGGCGTCGGACACTTGTTACTCGCATCAGCTGGATTATTTTTGAGATAATAAAATCATTGCCTATAATTAAAATCAATACTTTTTTAATTGGCACTTGCCAAAAAATTCACCAATTTCTTTTCTTTTTTGGAAACCAATCCAATTAAAATGAAAAATTATTCATTTAACTAAAAGTTTGCATCTTGTCTTTAATTAAAAACAAAATAATTCCTTGTTAAGTTTTATCAATTGTTTTTGTTTTTCCCTGTAGGTACGTCTATTTTGTTTTCTAGCACTTGTTTCCGACAGATTAATTGACAATAAGAAATATTAATTATACAATGTTGTTATTAACGTTTAGGATGTAATTTCGGATTAAAACATGTTGTCAGATTAATGGAATTCATATTTATTTTGGTTTATGACAGGCGCTGCAAGTAGGAGATGTTGATCGTTGTATTTTTGGCACTTTCACCCAATCAACAGGTGTATTTCGTTACAGATTCGTATATACAGATAGATAGCAATTATTATTATTTAGGCGATCTACCAAAAATACATCTAATAAGTATTACGTACTGTAGTTTTGGTTACATTTCGAAATTTATTGATACATTTGGTATATTATTATTAAACACAATGATACAAATCGTTGACGACTTCTGGCATCTAATTCATTGGATTACATTCCAATGAATGTTTCGACATTGACGTCCTAGACCTTCTTCCTTTTAACATGCATTGTTTGTTTCGTTTATTTTGGGACTGTCATAATACGCCTCTCAAAATTATAAAACTCATTTATATCCACTAGTTAAGTTACACATGTATATTTCTGCATGAAGAGAGACGTGACGTGAAGAATTTGAGAGTAGAATACAATTTATTTTCGGAAATAAAATTTTACTGAAATTGAGATCTATTCAAATTTAATTAACGCGTTCGTTTATGAAATGAAACAAAACTTTGTAATCTTAAAGGTTTTTCTTTACCATTTTTGCCATTAAAGTCGATGTCCAAGATGCATACACTTACAGGGTAATTTTTAAACGTTTGGCAAAACTTGAACGGGTTATTCTAAGAATATTTAATCTTTTGATCATCTTTGATCTGAAGATACAGAGCGATGTTATTTCATTCCACATTTTCCACTAGAGTAGTGTGAACTATCGATTTTAAAAAGTAATTAAAACTGTTGTTAAAATATGCATAAAATCTTATTCTAAGCGTTTTTGGTATTCAGTTTTTACCGCCTCGAATCTTCGAAACAAAAGAACTTTTTAAAAATGATCAAAGGGATAAATATACTTAGGATTAGAATTATCGTTTCGCCGTATGTCTAATAAACACTCCGTATATTAATTAGGTCACATATCCATTAATACTGATTTTTAGAGCATCGACTTCCTCCAGATTTTGTTTTATATTTAGAGATGTAGATATTTGTGCATGTTCAATCTTCTTTCACATTAAGGGGTTTATTTTTAGCGACTCTAGAGAACCTGATGAATATAAACCACTAACTGATTTCTTAAAAAATCCAATCAATACAATTGCAAATGCAAAAAAGAAATGTAGAAATTATTACAATTAAACCATTTAACAATCCTTTACGTATTGGCTGTACGATTTTAAATCAATTTTTGGATCATTATCATTATAGGTTGCCGGTAGACGTGATCCTGAACAGGAACAAGAAATCCTGAACTGGATCCAGGTGGTTACTGGCGAGAGGATTCCACCAAACATCCCTTACGAGCACGCTCTCAGGGATGGAGTACTACTTTGCAGAGTTATGAACCGTCTCATGCCGGGCTGCATCACCAGAGTCAATGTATCCGGGGGAGATTACAAATTTATGGATAACATTCAACAGTAAGTACCCTTAATGATATATTTTGGCACCAAGAAGTACCTACCTGTTAAAAAAAGAATAGGAAATTACTTTGGTACCATTTTTATTTTTGGCCAAACGAAACCACTTCATTTTTAGTAGAATTAACAAATTCGGGAAGCAAGAAGCAATTTAATAGAGAGAGAGAGAGAGAGAGATTTAGAATAAATAGTTACCCTATTTGGCTATGGTACCATAGAATAATTGATACTAAAACAAAAAAAAAGAAAAATAAATTAACCCCTGCTTGGAAGATACATTCGATTCCACAAGCCTCATCCCTGTTCCCCAGCGAATAGGATAAAGAGAACAGGACCCTAAAATTTTTCTATCAATCCTTGTGAAAACGTATTAACCTTTTAATCTTAAGAAATCTTAACATTTATTACACATGACATGAAAAAACACGAAATACAAAGTGATTAAAAAATAATTTTACGAAGAATGAGTTTGAATCATTTTCACAATTTTCTCGCATTTTCTAGGGTGACCAATGTGTTTTGTAAGGTGTATGGGCCCATAAGCGTGTGAGAGAACTATTGTTATTTTTTCAAAATTTTTAATAGACTGCGTGTTTTCCAAAATTAAAAACACTACCTATGAATACAATAGAGTGGAATGTTCATCTAATGTGACAAATATCTCGATTTCCTTGCCAAAATTTTACCTTTCGTCACTCATAGTGTCCCACCTTTGAAGTTTACAACATTATAATTACGTTTTACGAAACAGCGTTAGTCAATTGTTTTTTTTATCAACTGGATTTTTTTTTTGACTCGATATTTTTGTCTTAAGGTTTTTGAGTGCAGCAACAAAATACGGCGTACCTGACGTGGATTTGTTTGAAGCAGCAGATCTGTACGAAGCTAAGAACATAGCGCTGGTTAATCAGTGCCTTTATGCCCTTGGTCGCACGTGCTATCGCCACCCCGAATGGAGGGGACCATTCTTGGGCCCCAAACCAGCCGACGAAAACAAAAGGCACTTCTCCGAGCAACAAATGCGCGCCGGAGAGGCCATCATTGGACTCCAAGCTGGGTCCAACAAGGGGGCTACACAGTCTGGACAAAACTTTGGGGCTTCACGTAAAATCATCTTTGGAAAGTAAATTTAAGAACCCTGCTGCTCCCCACTTCGTGTTGCTAAGTACTTAACAAATGAAAAAAAAACAAAAACGAACGAAATGTTTTTTTTTATTNTTGTTTTGGAAAAATATTACAATGGAAAAGACTTGGTATTTGAAAAACTAAAAAACAAATTTTATCTAATAAGTACGCATTTACCTTAACATTTTCCTAACTTGTTTTGTATTAAAACAGGTACCAAAATTATTAACTTTGCATTGGAACATTTAAGATTATGAAATTCAACAAGTCAAAGAAAATCTGCATAAAAGATAATTACGTTGAAGATTTTCTGCCTACACTGACACTTGTTCTATTTCAATACACCAAAAAAATCAGCCCAAAATGCACAAGTTTTAAAAACAAAATATGAAAAAACACTCAAGACACAAAAATTACACAATTAAAAATAAAATAGCAAATAGCAATTTGAAAAATTGATCTAAAGCTCTTTTTAAACAGCATCAATACTTATGTAAAGAAATTATAAATTTTAGTTTTTATTTAATTATTTAATATTAGGGTTTCTTGAATTCATTTATATTTAATAAATTTAAGTTATTTTCATCCCTCGAATTGAAGGGATTGACTTATTGCATTTGAGAAAACCAAAAAAGTAATAGAGACAAAATATGGCCGAACTGCAGTGGAACAACAACATATGTAGAACAAATTAAACAAACTACAAAAACTTTTTATTTCTAACAGTCACTTACCCAAAAACGGATCATCCAAAAGTTGCGCTGCCGTTGCTCTTTTATCAGGATCGGCCTCGAAGCATCGGAGAATGAAATTCTTTGCGCAGTCAGAAAGTTCTACAGGAACCAGAGGATGTGCCTTGTAATATCCCACTCTGAAAAGTGCCGCCTGTGCTGATCCCAGTTCAATGAAAGGAGGGTCTCCAGTTGCCATTTCTACCACCGTACAACCCAGAGACCAAATATCTGCTGGAGCCCCGTAACCCCTCTGTCCTCTAGTAATTACTTCGGGGGCCATGTACTGAAGAGTACCTGAGAAACAAATTGAAACGTTAGCAATCAAGTGGTTTCGTCAGTAGCGTGTAAAGTTACCTGTAAATGTTTCTGTAACAGTGCACAGTCCTGCGAGCCTCTTTGACGTCCCAAAATCGGATATTTTTAAAATCCCGCTGTACGTATTAACTAGAACGTTGTCCCCTTTAATGTCTCTGTGCACAATGTTTTGATCGTGCAAATATTTGAGTCCTTGCAATATTTGTTTCGTGTAGAAGGCTATTGTGCGTTCGTTGCCTTTTAGTGGGCCCCATTTGGAACGTAAAAGGGCACTAAGAGAACCCCCAGGAACCTGCTCCATGAATATTTTGAAAATGTTGTCTTCTGAAATCGATCCCAGGTATCGAACTATGTTTCGATGTCTCAGCTGCGAGTGAAGACGAATTTCTTCGTGTAAGGGTTGCACCAAGCTCAAATTCTTCTCTGGTACTTCTTTTACAGCAATACGAACCTGAAAAAGTAATAATTGAAATTAATTTCTTGGAATCGTTTGCGATTATGTAAAGAAAAGTTCAGCAAAAATGATAGATAAACGTTAAACTGGCTTTTGTATAAAAGAAATGTATTAAACAGAAATGTCTTACTTGTGTGTTCAAATCTCTGGCAGCATAAACGACTCCAAAGGTCCCTTTTCCCAAGATCACTCTCTTTCCTTGTTCGTCTGAGTCGTACTCATAATCAATTTCTGTAGGCGTGTCAATGTTCACGAATATGCCTTCCTTTTCCCCATTTAGCCCTTGCATCAACGCAAAAACCTTCAATCTAATTTCATCCGTTGGGAAGAAGACCTCAAAGGTGTCTGAATTGCAGTAAATGAACAGGCATCTATGGTCCCGTTTGCATATGCTAAAGGATCGGATCATGTTCGCTGTGAACTCCCACTCGTGTATCTGGTTGCAGACTCCTTTTAATTGTTTCAGGCACAAATTGTTAATCTGAAATTTTCGTATTATGAGAAGAAGAATTAGGCAACATTGGGGTAAAATCAAACCTGAATGGACGGCTGTTCGATTTCTAAATTTACACAGACGTATGAGGGCAGGAACACCTGGTTTGGTTCAAGGACCAAAGCTGGAAACCAGAAACAGCAATCTCCTGGTTTTTTAGTCGTTTCCACGAAGAATTCCATCCAAAAGTAGAAAATCTAAAGAAAAACAACATTTAGTATACGAAGTAAATAAATTAATTATATTAATCATCTTACCCTTTCTTCTGGAGTCTTCTCGGCCGATTTCTTCTTCCTAAACTTATCTATGAGTACTATGTTTCCCACTGTGGATTGCAGGTACCAATCTGGAGGTTTTAGTTTGAACATACGTTCAGCAGCCTGGATGGCGCTACCGTAACGTTGCACAAGGACGGAAATTTCGAAGAAGGTTGCTACGTCCCAGTAATCCTGCAAGGACTCCAAACCGCCCTTCTTTCCTATCAAATTGTTCAAGACCATTCCAATACGTTGAAGTTCCTCAGAAGTTTCAAATGCAGCCCCTGTTATAACCAGAAGTGTGGCAAGGTTTATCCCAGCGTAGGCATTCTGTTGGACTTCGAATCCTCTCCTGTACCAATAAATTGCCTGGTTCAAACTGTCCTGGTCAATGTGGTTTGATTCGACAAACTTGTCCTTGTATATCCTACCACACAGGCAAATCATGTCAGGGAAATTGTTTTCTTTCTTCTTGAGAGCTTTAAGGCAGACTCTCAGTGCTTTTTCCCTGTCTCCGTTCCAGTTTCGTCTGTTCAGAGCAAAGGCGTACCAATATAATACGTAAGAGTTGATGCAGTTTTTGGACGATGGTAAAGTACGTAAATCGTCTACGAGCTCTACCATCGAGTCGTAGTCCTGGATATCCCGGAAACAGAAGAGCATGTTGAGGATAACTTCTCCGGATAATACGTGGGGGTCGTTAAGGCGTCTTCTCATCACTTGAAGAGCCTCTTCCAGATCAGAACCAGTCAAACTATCCCGGATTTTCTTCAAGTCGTCCAAGAACTTTTCTTTTAAAAACAACCTATAATAAAATTAACACAAATCGTTTTAAGCACCAATTATCGACCCCGTAAAACTTTTATCAACAAAACAATAAAAATTACAACCCAACAATAAAAGTTGTATATATTTTTAAACGACTGATTCACACGAATAATTATTTCATTAGATAAACCTGAAAATAAATCCACGATACAATAAAAAGAATCAACTTTTCAAAANATGCGTCCCAAACGATTACAAATAAATAACAAAATATATAGATTCTTCTTCTATTAAATATAAATAATAATGGGAAAAACGAAAATTAAGTACACACATCGCTGAAGTCGAAAAAGATAAGTCCAGTCACCGTTGCCCCGATCTAATTATTTCGTTTTGAGAGACGTATGTGTCGATTTTTTGATTTTTTTTTTCGAGTTTCCAAACGTTTCGTAACGTTCTGTCCACCTTCAGTTGCAACCACCTCAATTAGAAAAATTATTATTACGAATTACGAATTAATCGAATAAACTTTAATCCCTCCTTAGAAGGTACATTCGATTCCACAAGCCTCATCCCTGTTCCCCAGTGAATAGGATTAAGAGAACAGGGCCCTAAAAATTTTCTATCAATCCTATTCACTGCCAGTGGGACATAAGGACTTGTGAAAACTTACGAACCTTTTAATGAGAGATCACATCGTATTATTTTATCAAGTCGTAATTGGTAATATAATTTACTAATTGAAGTAACAACAACGAAGTGTCGACAGAAAATTGTGAAACGTTTGAAAATTCCAGAAGAAAAAAAATCAAAAAGTCTCTACACATCCGCACCCCAAAAGGAAACGATTAGACAAGGACAAAAGGGACTGCACTTACGTTTTTCCATTTCCTTCACACCTACGTATAAGAGTTAAGTCTTTTCACTTTCCGTACTATTATTAACGATACCACTAGAGTCTGAACTTGAACTGTTACTGTTCGTGACCTGGTCAGGTACCCTAAAGTCGTAGAGGAGAAAGAAATTTGAATTACGTAGCCTTTCGACGAACTGGTAGGCTAAATTGGCGAGCCAAGCCAACAACGAACTGTTCTGTTCTGGAAATTGTATCAAGAGAAAAAAAAAACATCAAAAATTACTTTAACTTCTGCATCGGAGAACTGAGGGTGAAGCAAAGCGAAGCGATGGTTTGTGTTAGGCTCCAAAACTGTTACCAAGTAAAGCATGGAAAAAACAAAGCAAATCGATATCATCATTCCCATTACCATTAAAGCATTATTTAATTATTATTTTTCAACGGAAGAGTTTCTGTTAATGCTCTGCTGCTAATGGGAATTGTTTGCCCACTTCGATACATTCATCTTGTCGAAGCCCCTACACGTCCTTCCGGTGCAGGGGGTCGATAAAATGCATGCCATTGAAGTGTAGCAAGCAAAACCGTTCCCATTACCGTCCCGGCATTAACAGTGAACCTAAAGCTTACGTACACAGCCACCAAAAGTAACTTACAGGATTATCACAGACTTCATAACACTCATTATTACTATTATTACAATAAAGTCTCACTTATTATTATTACTATTAATTATCGATAAGTACTATTTATTAAAGCGGATTAATTTTCTTGGCATTGACTTACTGATTATAATAAAGCTTTAAATCCCCCGCCAATGCCGAGACGATAATGGAAACAATTCCGATTTTCTGCATTTCAACGGCGTGCATCTTTTCGACCCCTGCGCCAAGAGGGCGCGATGGTTGTTTCGAAAAGACGAACGCACGAAGACGAGCAAACAATTCCCATTATCGGTAGAGCATCAACAGAAAGATTTCAGTTGAAAAATAAGTCAATCACAAAAAAATAAATCACAGACATAATAACACTTACAAATAATTAACTAGAAGTGCCAATATAATATAATTAAGACGGTTCAATTATATTATACTACCACTATTCGGGAACGAAGGGCTCAAACGCAACAAAAATCGTTATAATTCTATAAAATCAAACCAATATATCAATCGTCGTAATATTAAACCCTGGAAACGTTGTTTGGGCCCTTCAGTACGGGGCACAAACGCAAAAAAACGCAAGAATCCTACAAAGTAAAAATAATCAGTCTTTTCGAAAAAGAATTCCGTTTGTGCCCCCTACACTCCACCAACCACCTCGACGAGGCTGTTCTATTTAGTGACGTTGGTTTGTTTCTTAATGGTATGGACGTTTACTTCGTGACGTCCGGAATGCTGACGCAACGTTTCGGAGACATTACCTGTGGTGACTGCCGGCTTCTTCTCTCGTAGTTGTGCGCGATGCTCCCAGATGGCTTTCCACACCTGGTACTCGACTCCCGGTTTAAGACGTGCCAATTGCAGTTCCTCTCGGGTCATGTAGAGCAGCACGTCATCTAACGTGTAGCCGTCGCTCACCAGCGACCTGGCCATCGGGTACAACTTCTTTTCGACAAGCCAAGCTCCCAGACGACCGTCCTCCTCGATTTCGCCCTCTGGAGGGAAACGTGTCGACCAGATCCTTTTCAGTTCTTCCTTGTAATTGCTGTCCCGTTCGAATATCCTTTGCAGCTGTAACGAAACAATAATGAAAGTCACAATTATGTCGATTACTTACAAGACAGAAGGGAATACAACAGCAGTTACTTAGAGAAAAATTAAAAAGAAATCTTACCCAAACGCCAATCTGCTCGGTAGACTCGTGCAACTGCTCAAGCAATCTGTAATTGTAATTGCGGATTCGGGCGATGTTCTCGGATATCTCCATGAAGCCGTTGTCGTCCTCGGTGGTCCTGGTGGTCCTGGTGGAATTGGAGGTACTTGGATTGGGAGCCTCGAGATTTTCCTGAAGTTCCGGTGACAGGACTACAATGGCAGCTTGCATCCCGCTGCGAACAAGGTTGTCTAAGGCGAACATCCAATGGGGCTTGATGGGGTGACGTCTTAGGATTTCGTTTACGGATTCCTGGTACAAATAGATGGCAAAGTGGAGCTGGCTCATCGTGTGGGCATCGGATCCCAATTCTTCTTTGAGCTGTCTTATGGCAGGTTCGATAACGACCGGCGACGGATCGGCAATGTAACTCTTCAGGCCATTCATAAGAATTTCCAGGTGCTGATTGTTGAGTACGGTCTCGCCAAGGTACTTCTCCCTTATTTTTTGCATCCACAAGTCGCAGATTTGGGGGCCGTCTTGCTGTAGTACTTTGACGAGTGTGGTTCGCCGTTGCGAGTCTTTTTTAAGCATGTAGAAACCGTCGCTTTCTACGTCGGCATCTACTTCGGGGGTCATGGGAGTCCCGTTGGAACCGCGGCGACGAGAGCACTCTGCTTCTGGTTCAACGTCTGCCAATGAGGGAGTCGATGCTATGCTAAAGGATGACAAAAAAAAATTCATATTTCGTAACACGATTCATAAATGAAGACGGCCACCAATCACCACAAAATATGTGCATTATATTTGGTAATTACGTAAAATCAAGAAGAAAATGTAACTACGAAATAAAATAAAACATTAGAGCCCAACTTTAAATAATTACCCAATAACAAGAGAAATAAATTTAGCAGAAGAAAAAGTATATCAGAGAATTAAAATGTTAACAGAGACAAACGAAGGCCACACGGAGATAAGAAATACAACATCTGTCTTCGCAGAATAATTCATTCATACCTATATGTATTAAAATAAATGTTCAAATAAAATACAAGTGGTCTAGAAATTTCCAACATTCATTTTAAAAAGAAAAATTATACAATCAAAGTGAAACTACGAAAACCTTTTTTCGAGATTCACTGCAACGTATATTTTTTTTGAAATGTTTTGAGAAAAACAAAAACAATTTTTTGGATAATAGAAATCAATTTATCCTGTAAAAAATTGTTTTTATTTTCCCGAAAACATTTCAAAAAAAATATATGTTGCAGGAAGACGAAAAATCCTGGAAAACAGAGGAAATTAATTTTTTATTAGTTTTTCCTACGCTACCAAAAACATAATTTAAGTATTTGTATTAAAATTCTTTGTGTTAAATAAAATACAAGCGGTCTCGAAATTTCCCATATTCGTTTTTGGTAGCATGAAAAAAATAATACAATTAAAGTGAAACTACGAGATCCACTGCAACGTAAATTTTTTTTGAAATGTTTTGGAAAAACAAAAACAATTTTTTGCAGTAACAAAAATCAAATTATCCTGCAAAAAATTGTTTTTATTTTCCCGAAAACATTTCGAAAAAAATATATGTTGCAGAGAGATGAAAAATCCTGGAAAACTGAAGAAATTTATTTGTAACAAGAAACAAATTCATTTTAAAACCCAAACGGGCCTCTAAAGAAATTAAATGTATAAATCGAAAAAAACACATACGTAACAAAAGTCAAAAAGACAAATAACTAATAATTTTACATCCTCTGATAAATTTTCCTACACGTCACACCCTAATCGTACAACCCGATTGGTTAGTACAAAAAGACAAAAGCTGTTAAAAATATTAAATAAATAATTAGTTATTTAAGCGAAACAAAATTACTTTTCCATTTATTAAAAATTACCTGTTATACGAATATACTGCAGGCATTTGTATTGGTGGCAACAAATTCCTTCTTTTTCCCTTTCTGCAAGTGCAGGAACAACATTTCAAGAGACCACACGAAAAAATATAAAAACAAAACTCCTAATAAATTCCTTTAAATAAAAAAAAAATCCTAATAAACAAGGCATTAGACTAAACTATTTCAAAATGTTAGTTAGGTATAGGACGAAAGTGATAAGGAAATCGAAGAACATGCAACAAAGAAAAAATAGCAAACATGCAATTTACCTTCGGAAGCAACAAGCGCCTAAAAAGCTTCTAAAACACCCCGCGAAAGACATACTTAATAATATGAAATTTAATTTCAGTTATCACCGAAAAACACCAATTTAACTTATTCTTATGAAGAACGGAATCGAGCGTGCTCTTCAAGCGTCGACGATCAAGTAAAAGATACGTAGCTTTATAAACGTAATAAGGAATGGAAAGAGAGATAGATGATGGGTTAAAATAGCAAGGCGAGAACTTTAGGAAGGAGTAAGGTAAAGGCGAGAGCAAAAAGCTGTTGATAAGACGATAAGTAAAAGTAGATTTGTGTAGTTATAATCAAGCACATTGGGTTTGACGGTCAAAACACGGTCAAACAAACACGATAAATAAGTAAAAATCCTTTGCAATCGATTTAAAATGTTACGAACAAGAAAATAATTTTTATTCCCTATACCAGAAATAAATAAAATTAAACAATTTTATGAAAAAACATGCACTATTTTGTTCATAAAAACAGATTTACTTACTCCTGTTCGGGCGTTGTTGGGGTGTTATTAGGGGCGCTTGGAAGAGCCCCCGGGAGATATATTTGAGCCCTTTCCGCAGGTACTGAGACACTTCTGTTAAACTCTGTGTTTACCCTAACACTTTTTTTCCTTTCTCCTATTTTNGAAACACAAATTAAAAGCAAACAAGTAGCGCATTAAAAAAAATAAAAATTATGAAGAATTCCAACATTTTCAATTTAAAAAAGTTACATATCGAATACAGTTCCCTACAATCGCACCTAAATGAGAAGACAGCATAGAAATTCAAAACGAATCCAAGTAAATTATCAAAAAATAAAATTTCAGCAACAAAATGGTAAATGCAAAAAAGCAGACTCGTCCACCCTCCTCACATTTCGCCACCAAAAGAATTAAAATCAAACTAAAAGCAAGACAAACAATTCAACAGGCTAACTTTCAACAATCAATTCTTTCGGCGAAGAAATAGTTTATCGAATTGCAAAAGAGGAGCAACCACCGAGTCTACTTCCCTGCATTTAGCTTATCATCTATCACTTACTTGCTTTGCACCTCGACATCCTTGAGCATCCAGCCCAATCTCTGCCGTAGCTGCTCCATGATTTCGTCTCCCCTAGCTGCGGCCGCGGTGACAAAACAGGTGTTGCTGTTTTTATTCACGGCGTAAGAGACGAACGAATAACTTCCACAAGAGAGCTGCAAAATGCACAAACAATCACCACAATATCCAAGCAAGGGGGCTCAAACAACAATATTCAACACATGCATAAGTATGATAGTAACCTTTAGTCTCACTGCTGCGTCGGTATCGGTATCGTTAAATAGCAGGATATTATGTCTCATATGAAAGCTTTCGCGAACACCTAAGTGGTAGAAAAGCGTGCTCTGCTGTATAAGTACTGAGAGGTCCACTATTGCCACGTCTGCGCTGTAGAAGCTGCTCACCTCGTCGGCCTCAGCGACATCCATCTTGTCGAACTGAAAAAGAACGAAAAAAAATTAGTTTAATTCCTTTTAATGCACATCAAATGCATAATTACAAAAGAACAAAGTCTATATCTAAGCCCCTTTCACAGTACGACAGGATCGTTTAATTGGCTTAGGCAATTTTTTAATTAGGAATTTAGATAAGTGACGAGGGTAATGGAAAATTACAGGAGTATGCATTTAATTTTCTTATGCTTCTTTAGTCTGATTAAGAAGAAGTGCATCGTTTTGTCTTTTCCTAACATTCTACTTTTTGCAAACGTATCTGGTTTGCAGAAAAACGCATAAAAAACCATGCATTTCAAAGATTGATTGTTCTAGAACAATAGTTTACATAAATATAACAAAAAAAATAGTTGCAACCCTTCTTGAAACATGATAACAGACCTTCTCGTTAATAATTTCCGAAAATGCATGATTTTTTTAGCAATATTATGAACAAAGGAAATGAACGGAAAATTACAGAAGTTCACATTTAATTTTCTAAGACTTTCTCAGATTAAATGCACAAATTTGTGCATTAATTTGATTATTTTTCCAACATTCCACATTACTAAATTACTTATTCGTAAAAAAAAAGATAAAAAACCATGCATTTCAAAGATTCATTGTTCTAAAGCACTTTTTACGTAACGATAACAAAAAAAATACTTGCATCCCTTTCTGATACACAATTAGGTGTCTTTTAATTAATAATCTAGGAATTTGCATGATTTTTTATATATTTTACTAACAAAGGAATGAACGGAAAATTACAGACGTTCCCATTTAATTATCTAAGACTTATTCAGATCAAATACAAAAATTTGTGCATTATTTTGACTATTTTTCCAACATTCCACATTAGTAAATTACTTATTTGTGAAAAAAAAGATAAAAAACCATGCATTTCAAAGATTGATTGTTCTAAAGCACTTTTTACGTAACGATAACAAAAAAAATACTTGCATCCCTTTCAGATACACAATTAGGTGTCTTTTAATTAATAATCTAAGAATTTGCATGATTTCTTATATATTTTACTAACAAAGGAATGAACGGAAAATTACAGACGTTCCCATTTAATTATCTAAGACTTTCTCAGATTAAATGCACAAATAAATGCATTAATTTGACTATTTTCCCAACATTCCACATTAGTAAATTACTTATTCGTAAAAAAAAAGATAAAAAACCATGCATTTCAAAGATTCATTGTTCTAAAGCACTTTTTACGTAACGATAACAAAAAAAATACTTGCATCCCTTTCTGATACACAATTAGGTGTCTTTTAATTAATAATCTAGGAATTTGCATGGTTTTTTATATATTTTACTAACAAAGGAATGAACGGAAAGTTACAGACGTTCCCATTTAATTTTCTAAGACTTATTCAGATCAAATACAAAAATTTGTGCATTATTTTGATAATTTTCCCAACAGTCCACATTGCAAACTTATTTGCTTATACAAAAATGCATATAAAACGTTGCATTTAAAAAATTCACACTTTCAATTCAAAGTTTTACGTAAATTTAGAAAAAGAGGTCTAACTCTGACATGGTAACAAACAGTTCAATTAGCAAATTTATATAAAATATTAATTTTAAACTATATCATTGACAAAGGGAATGAATGGAAAATTGCAGCTGTTCATATTTAATTTTCTAAACCTTCTACCNTTTCTCAACATACCACTTTGAAAACAATTTTATATAAAAAAAGCAATTTTTAAACTATATCATTAGCAAAGGAAATTATATTTACTAAAAGATAATTATTATTCTGATAATTTTCCCAACATTCCACTTTGTAAACGTATTTCTTTATAGAAAAATGCACAAAAAACGATGCACTTCAAACATTTGTGAGTCTAAATCAAAGTCCTACGTAAATACTTTGAAAAAATACCTAAACCCTACATACAACATGGTAAAAGACAAATTAATTAATAATATACGTTTTTTAACTATATTACTAACAAAGGAATAGCATGGAAAATTAAGGGTGTTCATGTTTAATTTTCAAAAACATTTTCAGTTTAAACACAGAAAGATGTTTTTGCAAAATTCTATTTCTTATTTGTTCTTACTAAAAAAGCATAGAAAATGTTGCATGTGATAGAGCCATGATTAATTCAAAGATTTACGTGAATATTAGAAAGGAATATTTGTAATCTACATCCAATGTTAAAGGAGTATCATCACATTGATAATGAGCAAAGGACAAGGACAATGTAATACATCAACTGCTTATATCTAACAGTCTAACACATCTTCAGTATGTACATGGTGTCCACATTGAGTTTTCTAATGTCTCCAGTCTAGCTATAAAAAGATTTATATTATTAAGATATTCCCAACATTCTTCATTACATACTTGCCCAATCACACAAAAATCAATATGAATGCTTGAATCATAAATATTAAAAATTCTCCTCAAATATTATACACAACCACTCAACAAGTCTCTTAATTAACTTAAAAAGGATTTAAAATAATAAAGGAAATGAAACCAAAAGTACTCCATGATTTAAGACAAGATTATAAGTTCAAATTGTTAAAACAATAAATTAACTGTTCATTTGGCTTCTATATTCCTTTACATTTATGATAAGAAAAACATATTTCAGAATTTAGGTAATACTTTCATTCACTCAATATGAAATATGCTGCTAATAATGGGAAAATACAAAAAAAGCCAGCAGAATTCTAAAACTGGTCAAGTCTGACCACTAAAACAGTTGTGTACTACAGTGGTCCTAAAAAGAAACAAGTAAAAAATGTAAAAACTCATTAAACTCTGTATTAGAGTCAAAAAAGGCCATTTTTACCATTTTAATAAAAAGCATGTTACCAAACAGAATTAATGAAAAATGTTGTAGCATGTTCAATAGTTATTTACCGTAATATGGCTGAACTTTGCACCAACTTGAGTACATGCTGCCTTCACTTCTTCTAAGGCTTTTTTACGGTCAGCTGCTTGATGGTCTGTTTCAGTCAAATCCATAATGCAAACAACATCCATTTGTTGTTGTTTATTATTACTCTGACTGCCTATTTGCACTGTGTTTCCTGTATTTCCTGAATTTCCTGCAGTTCCTGTATTTGTTGTGTTTCCTACGTTTCCTGTGTTTCCTGATAAATCAGAGTGTGACCCCACTGACTCAGTCATACTTCGGTTCTCTAAAATGTTATATTTTCATTCATGTTTCTTACACATTAAAAAAGGAACAGACAATTACCTGGGTCAGGTTCAATAGTGAATGTTAATTGGGATGACATTGTAAATATAAATTAAATAATAATTAAATGAAAATAAACCAAACTATCCATGCATTTAGGTTTGCAAAGTAGTTTGGAGAGTGTAAAACCCTTAGAATGATAGGAACTTAACAATCAGATACTCTTAAGATAAATCGAACGAAAATCGAAACACATTCGCACTGAACGCTCTTCTCACATAAACTAAACGAACAAGGAGATGGATTTGTCCTGAGAAATCGCTTTTGACATAAAAAATCTAATAAAAAAACGTCATTATCTTACTGACATTGTATGACACTGATCAGGAATATATGTTCACATTTGGCCAATTTCCAAATTAATTTGATGCAACTTTGTAATATAAACACGAAAACAGCTCACATTTTCGTTAATATTGCCCTTAAACTGTAAAAATAGGGTGAATGAATGCAATTTGCAGGTTATATTTACTTCAAAATTGTTAGTTATGCAACTTGCTATTCACAGAAGCTTGGGGATTACATACTCCCTCCCCTTTCATCAGAAATTACAAGAAAATAGAACACTAACAAGTTTGGTGTAAGTTGGGTTGCTAACAGTAATGTCTATAATTCACAGTCTCTAATTTTCCAGTATAACGAAAAGAAAAAGGTAATTTACCTTGTAAATAGAATATTATTGTGATAAAAAAAAAGTCTAATTAAGAATTTAATTTTTAGTTATGAATTTCTGTAGATTTCACAAAATATTAATTTTATTATTTGCAAAGGATAATAAGGGCAGAAATATACTTGTTATTGGGAAAATTCATTTTGTTTCTAATCTTTCTTAAAACATTTAATTTCTTGTAATATTGATGCATCAAAACAATAAAAAGGCATTGTAATTAAAGATAAAGTAAACTGACACATGTGTTTGCCAGTACAAGGAAACACAATGGTTTTTAATTGAGTCTATATAAAATAAAATTCTGTTAAATGTTAAAAATTAAATATAATTAATGAAGATACTGACGCAAACTGAAGGGGTAAAAACCATTTATTGCTTTGCATAATCATACCAGCATGCGGCATTCTCTCTCTAACAAAATGACCTAAACTTTGAGCGTCCAAATTTTAAAAATAAGTCAAAAAGGAACCGAAATTAGGAATTATTTCCTGCGATTTCGAAAAAAACAAAATATCCGACACCTTAAGACCCCCTACTATGCTTTTTTATCATGTTATTTAATTGGCTCGAACCACTGCAAAGAGCGAAATTTGGAACATCCAAATTGGTTAAATAGGAGACGAATTATGTGTTGTTTTCTTTAATTTACAAAAGCACCCTTTCGCCATCTTACGACACCCTAATATCGTCTTTTTATATCTTATAAATTTAAATTTAATTTTTTCCAAAATTCCATAGTTTTAAGCGCGATTTCGCTCACGTTAATGTCCTAAGTACATGTCAAAGATCATTATCGACGACCATATAAAACTAATTTTTCTATCCCTCGGGAAGAT